TCTTCATTTTTTCATATAAAATTCCGTGTTGATCAAAAATTTTTTATTAGTGAGTGACACTTGACCCCCTGTAGATCTGCAATGTCCTGCGACTGTTAAGAAATTGTATTGTAGTATGGACAATAGAAACACAACTAATGTCAAAAATAGATTTTATCAGTCACAGGCAGTGTGTGAAATTATGTGCGGGCGTGTCTTACATAAAAAATGCGCACATTTGTTGATCATCAAAAAAATTTTTGAACTATTTATTTATTCTTTCAAAATTAAAACCTTGAATATCTGGACCATTAGTAAAATTGTTAAATGATTATTCAATGTATCAAGATACATTTTGTTTCTCAATTTGTTTTTATCTGATTTGTTTGTGAAAATATTCTTTCAACATGTGCATTGAAAAAAGGTATAAGGAGTGTTATTTTAACAATAATTGTTAAATTTAGGTAATTGAAATAAAAATTTTCATCTGTATCCAAAATGTGTTTCCACAATTGAATAAAATACATTTCTGTGTTTTTATAGGTATACAAATAGAATTTTAGAGAGTTCCACTCTTCTATGAGTGTTCCTTTTTCAACAATTTCACGAAATACATCATTCACCAATTTAGTATCTTTATAAAATTTATCTAATATAATAAATAAAAGTATGTTTTGTTTATTTAGGTGTAGTTCTATTTTTATTGATACAAAAAACATATGTTCGTAATAATAAAATTTCAATTTTGTTACACGAATTTCCTGCACAAATCCTGCTAAGAGATTATTGGCTACCTTTAATGTAACACACTGGTCGCAGGACATTGCAGATCTACAGGGGGTCAAGTGTCACTCATATATAAAATTAATGATCTTCATGCATGTAAAATCGAAGAAAAAAATCACTCTGGTATACACAAACCTACCCGATTTCCAAGAATTATAAAAAATCAAAATATATGGAAACCCTATAAGTTTTATAATATAGAATTTTGAATATGCACAATTCAATCTTTCGACTTAATTTTTTTTTACATAATAATTAATGCAATAGTAAGTTCTAATTTCCAAGCTTTAAATATTTATTTTAGAATTTGTTTATAGAAAAGTAT